TGCAGCGATTAAAGGAAGCTCTTGCCTCCAAGAGGCGCTTCTTCGCGCAATTGATGGTGAGATCGCACACATTGTGGGCATTCAATATGGACATGGAATGTTGGGCAACGAAGCCTTTTACGATTCAAATCCATGGGCCCCTTTCGCTGCAGCAGCCCTGCGCCTCGAGCTTCCACCAGTTATTCTCTTCCTGGAATTATTGCAGTGTATCGCACCGCGCGCGCTGGGGCAGCTTGGAGCTGCCAGCGCTCCGCCCGACCCCAGCCAGGGCGTGGTCCAAGGCCTTCGCTCTGGCACCAGGTTCGCGAAGATCCTCGCGCACTATGCGACGCAGACGGCCGCGACGGCCAACGCCCGCAGGGGTCACAGGCTGCGGGTGGGCGACCTCTCACAGGTGGTGAAGGGCTCACGACGGGCAGCCCGACAACTCATGATCAAGCGCCTGCTCGACACCTGTCGTGAGTTGGGAAAGTGCATATTGAGAACGGCAACCAAGTCGACGGTGATGTGCGCAACTCGCCAGGACGCGCTGGTCATTGCGAAGGCTGCGAATAAAGCTGGATACAACGCGCAGCCCGTGCGTCAGGCGACGCGCCTTGGCGCGGGCTTCGGCAGCGGCCGCCGCGCCAGGGCAACCCGTGCTAAACGTGAGGCCAGGCACCTTGTCATGAGTAAGAAGACCAGGCGCTTTACCAAGGCGTCGAGGCAGTACACTGCCATGGCGAAGCTGCAGAAGCAGGGCGGCATCCCTGCTGGGCTGCGCGGCCACCAGGTGCACGGCGCGTTCGGGCACCAGTTGACGGCAGCGAGGCGCAGGCTAGGACAGGCGTGCTCCTCCTATAGTCGCGGGCGGTGTCTGACGACGGCCCTGGGCTTAAGAGTCCACGGGGCTGACCCAGCCATGCCCACCAAATGCATCGATATGTGGCTCCAGGTCTGGCAAGCACATGCACATATCAGGCCGTCGGTACATCGGGTCTGGCGCAGGATAGTTGATAAGATGGCCTCACTACCACCAGCTGATCAGGCACGTAATGTACGAGGCCCGAGTTCAGCAGTTATCTTGACTTTGATACGGCTGGGCTGGACACCAGCGTCAGCTTGGACTTGGACGTATCCGACGAGCAGCAGCACGTATGAAGAGTGGCAGCTCCCTGACGCCATGTTCACAGGCTGCAAGGCTCGCGACCCCCACCGAAGTATCCATGCTGACGTACAGCAGGCGGCGTCCCTCAAGGTGTGGGCGCAGGCGAGCAAACGCTACTGTGACAGCGGGCGCCAGCAGGGCGCCGACAACGAGTCCTACCGCCGTCTCATCGGCCACCTGAGCCAAGCCGAGCACGGCAAGAGGCTGGCGGAGACCATGGCCATGGTGGCGTCGGCGGGGTGCTGGCCCAAGGCGCGGAAGCTGCAAATGGTGAAATACTTTGCAGGAGGAGCTGAATGTGACCGATGCCGTGCTGGACCTGAAACCTTGGTGCATCGGTACTGGACGTGCGAGGCCAGCCGAGGCTCCAAGGCCTACCAAGACTCTGACGACCTGGTCCATGAAGCAATTACGCACATGAATGTATGTGAAGCCTTTTGGTTGGGATGCATTCTTCCTGAACCGTGGACACGAGTACCACCACGAGTCGCTCAGGAGCAATGGAGTGTCTCTGGCATTAATGACATGACGAGCGGATGCATGGGACATGGCACGACCACGCGGCCGATTATGACTGCAGGTGACGCGTCGGGAGGCCCCGACTCTAACAATTCGAAGTTCAGGAGGGTGGGCCTTGCCATCGCCAAGTTCGACTCCATCGAGCCCTGTGTCCAGGTATGTTCCACCATTGCTGGACCTCTACCTGGACATCGGCAGGTTGTGGCTCGTGGTGAGATACAGGCTTTTGTGTTAGCCACCTGGGCCACTTCAGGCCACCTCACGTACATCACTGACTACGAGCCGCTGGTGCAAGCCTGGTACGAGAGGAAGTATGAGCACCCCCACGGTGACGACGGGGACCTGTGGGTGGCGCTGGCTGGCCTCCTCAAGACCAGGGACCCGAACAACATCACCATCCTGTTCACGCACAGCCACCAGACGGCACACGATATTGTGAATGGCAAGGCTATCCGAAACCTAGTCCTTGCCACCACGGTGGCGGACGAGCTTGCAGACCATGCAGCAGAGGGCTGCAGGCTCCCAGAAGCTAACGGCCACAGGGTTCAACGGCACGAAGCTCGAGCTCGACGCGTTCGACTACGGTTGCTGCGGGCTACGCTGGACAGCCTCGCGACCGAGGCGGAGCTGGAGGCCAGCAGGAGGCAGGAGAGAAAAGTGAGCGGGGCGGATGTGGCCCCACCTCCACCTCCCCCCCCTCCTCCCCCTCCTGCTGCTGCTCTCGCCCAACTCTTGTCCCAGCACAGTCTTGATGAAACCAGACGTAGGTGTTTGAAATGTTGCGGTTCGGCCACCCTGGCCGCTGCTCGTGATTGGGTGCACACCCCTTGCCCCCGCCTTGTGAATGTTGATGGCACCATTTTGTCCCCGTCAGTCGGTGCCCGAATTCATGTTGCGGGGGGCTGGCTACACTCATCCCATCTCCTTAATTACCACACGGTTTTGAAGCTTTGGTTCTGTGGGCGGTGTGGGGGAATAGCTGGCAAGCAGCTTCGGTCCCTTGGAAAGCCGTGCTCCACCGTCACCCCCACAGGTAGAGTATATTTAGACCGCATCAAGAATGGGCTTCACCCCAAGGTCCTGAGCAAGGCTGAACTGAATAGTCGGCAGCCTCGGTCCTCTCTTTAATGTGGTCGTTGATTGAACTGGCATCGCCATGGGATCCACTCCACTCCACTCCTCCTCCTCCTCCTCCTCCCTCAGCTTGCCCCCCCCACCCACCCCCACTCCTTTCCAAGTCATCCACCCTCCTCCTCCCTCTCATCCAACTCCTGACCAGCCGAGAGGGTCATCATGCTCCTCCACTTGCTGCTGCTAATCCATAGATTGCTTCTACCTGTCCTCTGTTTATTCCGACAGGAAGCGTCATGTGTGGAGACTGGGCCATTGAGACCGATCCCCATAGTAATCCATAGGATGTGACCGAATACCCTTTCGTTCTGGGTGGAAAAGCAGGACTCGTGAGTCATACCTGAGCCGAGATGGCAGGGGAGAAGCAGAAGATAAGGGAGATGGGTACAGTCAACCCGCATCATAAGGATGCGCGGCAAGGATGCGAGGGCCTTGGAGGCCCATGTTAACGTTTCTCGAACCAAGCTGGCCAGCGAAAGTCGTTAAGGATGGGACGAAGGGGCAAGGATGCAAGGGTACCCTTGGGAAGGTTGCCCATGCTTACTACGCGGGTTGACTGTAAACACATGGGCCGCCTTCATGGTGTTGGAATAGTTGGGGTCGAAGGGCCGTGCCGCATCGGCGATGCATCGGCGATGCGGCTGGACTCGGCGCCCGATTCCCTCCGTCCCGGCGTCGCCGACGCATCGCCGGCGCATTGGTAATGCCTTGCGGTCCTCCAACCACTCCGGCTCCGATCTCATCTGGGCGGCCTACACTAAGACGAAGCCAGGACGAAGATAAATCGGGAGAAAATAAATCGAGAATCTCTCAGACCTGGCGGCTCGAAGATGTCTCCGGCGCCGCGGCCTTCTCAAAGCGTTCCAGAACGCTCTGCGAGCCTTCCGGAACGCCCTGGGACGGATATTGGGCCCGCCCGGTACTCGGGGGCGGCCAAGATGGGGGCGTCAAAGAGGGGGGGGCGCAAAGCATGGCCAGCGGCACGTGCGCGGCCCCGCGGGGAGCCGGGGACGTATTGAAATGAGAAGAGGCGCCATGAAATCTGGGAGAGAGCGTGATCCACCGCCGCTTTACTGTGGAAAATTGCCGCCCTTTTCCTCCGGAACCCGGGGGTCCCCCCCCCCCCTCCGAAAATCCCCCCCCCTGCTGGAACCCCTCCCCCCCCCTCCCCCGGCAAACCCCCCCCCCTCCCCTAACCCCTCCCCCCCCCCCCCCCCCCCTCGAAAACCGGGGGGGGGTCACTACCGGTTCGAACCCCCCCCCCCCTCTCGAAAACCGGAGGGGGGGTCACTACCGGTTCGAACCCCTCCCCCCCCCTCTCACCGCCAGCAAACGACTCCCGGTCCCTACCACCGTCCTCACCACATCCCCCACTGTTGTTCCCAGCACCACTGTCACCACCACTGTCCCCACTGGTTCCACCACCGCCCCTACTGTCCCCACCAGTGCCACCACCACTGTCGCACTGTCCCCACTGTCCCCACCACTGTTCCCACCACGGTTCCACCCTCCCAACTTTCTCCACAGCCCCAGCCACTGCCCGACTATCCCCACTGTCCCCACTGTCCCACTACTGAGCTGTCCCACTGTTCCCACCGTCTCCACTGTCCCCACCACTGTCCCCACTGTACCTCTGTCCCATTGTCCCACCGCCGTCCTCGCCACCGCCTTCACCACTGTCCCCACCACCTCTGTACCCTCCACTGTCCTACTGTTTCCACCACATTCCCACTGTCCCCACACCACTGTCCCCATCACCACCGTCCCACTGTCCCCACTGTTCCCACCATTGTCCTCACCATTGTCCCCACCACTACCGTCCCCACCACTGTCCCACTGTCCCCACCACTGTCCCGCTGTGCCCTCACCACTGTCCCCACCACCACCGTCCCCACCACTGTCCGCACCCCCCCACCCCCCCTCAGTTTTCGAGGGGGGGGGGGTTCGAACCGGTAGTGACCCCTCTCCGGTTTTTGAGTTCGAGGGGGGAGGGGGTCGAACCGGCAGTGACCCCCCCCTGTTTCATGATGAACTGGGGGGGCGGGGAGGGGTTCGAACCGGCAGTGACCCCCCCGGGTTTTCCGCCAGCAGCGGCAGAACACGCTCTTTCAAATCTGGGGAGACCTGTAGCACGGCCCCCGCCATGACATCCCCCCCCTGCCCCCCTCGTGGCCGCCCCGTCCGATACACAGACGCAGCGAGCCTGTCATCTTCATGCCGTTCTGCAGCACGCTCACCGGGAAGTGCGGGGCCGGCATCGAGCTGAGCCACAGCCTCGCCCCGGGCGCCCCGGCCGCGCGCGCGGGGCCCCGGCGCCCGCCAGACGGCCGGCCTCGCCTGCTTCCCCTCGCGGCTCAGAGGGGAGGGGCCAGCGAGGCAGGGGACGACTCTGCGCCAGGGGCAGGGGCACGGCATGTTCGGCGGCAGCTCATGGGAGCCTCCCAGACCATCTTGTCGGCTCTCGCGAATCGGCGCCAGTCGACGCTAAATCAGCGGTCACCGACGTCAAATAAACGCTAGTCGACGCTCACCGACGCTGCATCGGCGCTAAGCCATCGACTCCCAGACGCTATCCACGCGAATCGACGCCAAAGACGGAATTGAGAGGGTACACCAAGCTCCCATGATTTGCTACCGAACGGCATGGCTCCATGCTGGGAGTAGGCGGCGCGAAGCGCGTCGGAGGTCACGTGGGCTCGAGAACGTGTGCTGTGCACGCTCCTGGTACAAAAGATGATTGGCCTCTTCTCCTCCTCCTCCTCTTTGGCTAGTGCCAGGCATGTCGAAGCCCACTTTTTGTTTCTCCGCTCGAAATCTTACTAAACGGCAGCGCCGCAAACCATTCCAATGTATCCGACCTGTGCGTAGCAAGCTGCAGAGTGGCCGCGCAACAGCTCATGCTCACGGCCAGCTATAATGCTGCGAACGCTTGGGCTCGACCCTCACAGCGCCCGCACGCGAAACACTTACGTAACGAAGAACACGCGCGATACAGGCAACGGCAAGAAGGACAGCAAACACTGCCAATCGTTGTTCTTGCTCTTGCCCCCCCCCCCCGTCAACCTCGGTCCTCCTGGCGCGTACCAAAAAAAGGGGGGCACCGTGCCGTGCCGGCTGGCCGCAATCTAGCCGCGATGCCGCAGCCCTCGCGCGAGGAGCGAAGGCAGCTGCCTCGTGCTGCGGGACTGCGTGCAGAGCGGTGGCTGGAAAACTGGTGGCACGGGGTATCCGTAAAGGGTGATACGTACACATGCAATGGGCCAGCGAATTTGCTGACACGGTCGTTGGTGCCACAATTCTGCACGAGCTGAATTGTATCAGAAGTATACGGATGACCGACGACCTTCAAGCGGAGGGAGCGGTATCGAATTCTGATGTCATGAGCTTCATCACACCACCAGCCCGCAGACAAACAAACTGTGCACACCCACGCCTGCAACACACATGCGAATGCAAGCCAGGATGCACTAGACTTGTGTTATCAGTCGTTGGCCTCTGCGATAGCTCTATACCAAGACTCAGCCAGAAGCATGAATCCAGCGAAGCAAAAGCGTCACGCCAACGCATGCCGCACGAGCGAGCCCATTCCTGCATCCCCCCCGTCCTTCAGATTCAAAAATAACGCTTGCTTCGGGGAGCCAATTCAGAAGCGGAAGCTCCAAAGTTGCCTGCTAAATCGTAGTCTCTGATCTCTCCTCTTCGTCGTCCTCCTCTTCCTCCTCCCCTCCTCCTCCTCCTCCTCTTTCCGTCCTCTTCCGACCGCCACGCTGGGGATCGGATCGAGTCGGTGTGCGAGCATCCAGCTCAGCTGCCTCACTGCCTTTTTTCTCTGCATGCGACGCGAACTCAGCTGTCATGGCAAGAACGGCGGCAGACGGTATGCTTGTCCGCGAAGAAGCGGAGCGCAGGCTCAGATGTCCCAGTCCTTCTCCTACTCCTGCTTCTCGCCCTCCCTTCGGAATTTGATGTGCGACCCCTGTCGCCTCCCAGCCCCTTCTCTTAAAACGCTCCCGCTGCTCATCAGTAGCACAGGCGCGCACACAGGCGATGCGTTGCCTGGCGTGCCAGTCTGTTTCTTGGCTGAAGAACAAGGCAATGACAACCGCCCCACGCGCGTGACCTTGGCGCGAACGCTGGCGGGGTGGTCTCGGTTGGCGCATCCGCAAAGGGGCCACGGAGCCTGCCAGCCCACGGGGAGAGCGTTCGACAGCTCGAGCGGCAAAGAAGCGATCGTTCCTCCTCGCCTTCGCCCTCATCTTCCTCCTCTCCACCTCCTGCCCTCCTCTTCCTGTCCTCCTCCGACTGCCACACTGGGATTCGGTCGGTTTGCGCCTCGCGGCCTCGAAACCGACAGGCGAGCACGCCTCCCTCTGAGCGCTGACGACCGCAGATATCGTGTGCCAGGTCTCTGCTAACAAAAAATAAAGGGTCCGCCTGGATGTGCGGAGCTGTGAGATGGATCTCACGCGCCTATACAAATGCGTATCCGGCGCAATGTTCTTCCTTTGGGCGGCGAGAGCAGCTCGAACGGCGGCTGCGCGTGCTCGATTGACACATGGCGACCTCTCTTTTGTTCCGTCATTTTCTCTTGGTCCAACTTCCCCCGGCACCGGGGGCAACCCAAACAACCACTCTTTTAATGGCGCCTTCAAGCGTGGCGCACTTACACCCGGGTCACCTCAAGTCAGGGCATCTCAGAACCAGGGATTCCGAGGATGTCTCAGGCGAACCGGGCCTGAGCACCTCGCGGATGACAACGTCTTGGAACCCAGTTGTGCGGACGTCTCAAGCGAAACGGGCCCGAGCACCTCAATTCAGGGCATCTCGCAGTAGCCCGGGGTTCGGAGGATATCTCAGGCAAAACAGGCCTGAGTACCTCGCGATGGAACCTAAGGTTGTGAGGATGTCTCAAGCGAAACGGGCCAGAGCACCTCGCGAGCCGCAAACCCACAGGTGTGAGTTGCGAGGATGTCTCAAGCCAAGCGGGCTAGATATCCTCAAGTCAGGGCACCTCGGAGCCCGAGGCTCCGAGGATTTCACAAGCGAAACGAGCCTGAGCACCTCGTGAACAGCATCTTCAAGCCAGAGTTGCGAAGATGTCTCAGGCGAAACGTGCCTGAGGACTTCACGAACCGCATCCTGGAACCCAGCATTGTGAGGGCGTCTCGGGCGAAACGGGCCAGAGCACCTCAATTCAAGGCATCTCGAAGCCTGGGGTTCTGACGATGTCTCAGGCGAACAGCGTAACGAGGATGTCACGCGTGAAACGGGACTGTACATCTCAAGTCGGGGCATCCCAGAGGCCGGGGCTGCGATGAGGTCTCCAGCGAAACGGGGCTGAGCACCTCGTGAACCGCATCTTCAGCCCAGCGTTGCGAGGACGTCTCGGGCCAAACGGCCAGAGCCAGGGATACCGAGGATGGCTCAGGCGAACCACATCTTGGACGCCAGTGGTGAGGACGTCTCAAACGAAGCGGGCAAGAGCGCCTCAATTCAGAGCACCTCGGAGCCGAACGGTCAGAGCCACGGGTTCCGAGGATGTCTAAGGCAAAACAGGCCTGAGTATCTCGCGAAACACATATTGGAATCCAGACTTGTGATGACGTCTCAAGCAAGACGAGCCAGAGGACATCTAGTCATGGCATGTTGGAGCCCGATGTTGCGAGGATGGATCTCCCTAGGCCATGGGGACACCCAGATCTGTTGAGGGCAACGCCTCCCTGGCACCTCCCAAGCACCGCTGTTGGGGTTGCCGGGGTCGCCCGAATCTGTCCCGGGCGATCCGGGCACTGGGGCTCAGGTGCACTGCCCCCCTCGCCAGCAAAGGCAAGCCCTGGATGGGGCTGAAACAGCCCCAAGAGCCAACTAAAGTGACCAGCGAGGACCATACGGCTCCGAAACACACCTCCACCCGAAAAACTAACGGACCATTCGAGACATCCTCACAATGTGGGCGCGAACGGGCCAGTGACACACCCTTCGTCGGCAGAGCACCAGCCCGCATCACCAGGCACGATCGAGACCTCGTCCAGCTCTGGCGGCGAGAAGTGTCCCGAGAGCATTGCCAACAAGAGTATTTGTCTGACAGCAATAAGAGCATTATCGTTCCCCCCCTCGTCCTCAATGAAACCTGCTACTCCTCGTCCCCCTTCCCCTTCGCTTCGCACTCCTCAACGGTTGCTCGGAACTGCGGGGACGTCTCATACGAAACTGGCTGAACCCCCTCGCAAGCGGCATCTCTTTGTCCATAATTGCTGGAACGTCCCAGGCGAAATAGACAGAATCACTTCGCGGGCGGCACCTTGAAACTTAGCGCAGCGATGATGTCTCAAGCGAAAAGGACGAGGCAACCTCAGGTTACAGTAATCATCTCCGAGCCCAACAGTTTTGATGATGCTTCGGGCGATATGGGCCAGACCACCTCTCGCGTAGCGTCTGGGAGCCCAGGTTTGCGAGGATGTCTTAGGAACAACGGGCCAGACCATGGAAAATCTGGTCGTCTCGGAACGCTGACTTGTTAGGATGTCTCATGCAGAACGGACCGAACCACCTCAGCATGCTGCCAATGCCTCGACGCGCGGGCCCCTCGGGCGGCATTCGTGCTTACCGCCACAGATGTCTCCCGGCACAGGCCGAGCGACCCGGGCTCACTCTAAGACAAAACTTGTTGAACGGAAACAAACGAGAAGTTCCCACATGAAGAAGCCCGGCCAATTCCCTCCATCGAGCATCAGGCTTGAGGTCGCGAGCATCGAGCTCAGCTGCCTCACTGCCTTCTTTCTCTGCCCGCGACTCGATCTCAATTGTCATGGCAAGAACGGCGGCAGACGGCATGTCTGTCCACCAAGAGACGGAGCACAGACCTGGATGCTGAAGCCCTTCTCCAATTCTTCAGATGCCCCCGTTGCTTCAGACGCCTCAGTGGCATGACGCCTCATGCACTCGATTCGTGGTATCAGTCGTTCCTCGCGTTAGCACTATACCTCGACTCAGCCAGAGTCCTGAATCCAGCGAAGTAAAAAGCGTCACGCCAACGCATGCCGCACGAGCGAGCCCATTCCCGCATCCCCCCGTCCTACCTTCATCCTGCCATATCAGACTCAAAAAAACCGCTTGCTTCGGGGAGCCAATTCAGAAGCGGAAACTCCAAAGTTGCCTGCTAAATCGTAGTCTCTGATCTCTCCTCTTCGTCGTCCTCCTCCTCTTCCTCCTCCTCTCCTCCTCCTCCTCTTTCCGTCCTCTTCCGACCGCCACGCTGGGGATCGGATCGAGTC